TAAATCTGACTAGGCCCTTTTTCTTCCATGTCATAAGTTTCCCTATTCCATGCTAACTGGTTTATACATTTTTAACTTATGCATTGCACTTTGCCATAAAATAATATAAAGACTTTTTCAAATATTATACAATAAGTATTATATTCACAAAATGTATTGATTATTGTTGCAAGTTTTATTATAAACTATGCAACAATAATTCACTTATAGAAGTTAGAAACTCCTTATCCATAAAATAGGATATAGGCTTAAGATCCACTTAAGACCCATGGGCCCTTTTTTCAGAAAAGTAGAAGCCGGAAAGAGCAAGGAGAGCAAGATGGCCCAAGTAGCATCTGACATGAGCCATCCCTATGAGGCCCATGATAAATTAATAAAAGCCCAATAATAAAGTAGGAAGCAAAAAGAGAACGAAATCAGGAAGGCACCTACTTATTTCAACTGATTCCTTTGGGACTTCGATTCCAAGTTAAAAAATGGCCGCCTCCGCTGCTACTGCGTCTTCTTCTGTGACGGAGGAAGAGCTCACACTGACAGTAAAATGGAGTGGCAAAGAGTACACGGTTCGAGTTTGTGGGGATGACTCAGTGGCCGAGTTGAAACGAAGAATCTGCGAACTCACCAACGTTTTACCCAAAAGACAGAAGCTTCTTTACCCTAAAATCGGCAACAAGCTCTCCGATGACTCCCTTTTGCTCTCTCAACTTCCCCTTAAGTCCTCTCTCAAGATGACCATGATTGGGTACTCTTCTCTCTCTCTCTTCCAATTCTTTTTATTTTTTTTAATTATCAAGTTTGGCTGTGTACTGTTGATTTTATTATTTTGTTAGAGAATTCGCTTACCCAAGTTTTCTTTTGTTGGGTTGTTTTTATTTGGGAGGACATTTATGGAAATTTTTTCTGTTAGGAACTATCTAATTCTCATTATTAATCACAACTATCTCTCAAAAGTTTTGGTCTTTCTGAATATTTCATTGTGAAATATTGATAACTACTAACCTTGGAATTTCTGAAGTTTCTGTTGTATGCTTTTTATGTATTAAGGTTGTTTTCTTTCTTTCTTACATAAAAATATTTTCTTTGCTATGCTAACAATTAATGCGGTATTCATAGAGATTAAAACTAACAAGCATTGGAACTATGAATGCCCAGCACTGTCGAAGATGATATAATTGTTGATCCAGTTGAGACTCCAGAGATCATTGATGACTTTGAACTTGGGCAAGATGAAGCTGTTGACATAAAAGATAAAGAGGTCAACAAGCAGAAATTGAAGAGACGTATAGATCAATATAAGGTTAGAATCTCTTCTTGATACTTGTATGATTGCAATGCAAAGTTAGGGGAAGCAATCATTATGTGAATGATGCCAAAAATGTTATGGACATTTCCTGGTGATTGTTCTATGTTGTTTTATGTTTGCCCTTGATCTTCATAGCTCTCTTTCTTTTTTCGCATGTAATGAATTTGGGATGGAGGATCCTGTCTGGAAAGTGTTTTGTCCTTATTCTAACCTTGACGTGCTTCTATGTTGTTTTGGCAATAGAAAATGCTTGAGCGTCAGTTTGTGAAAGTGGGATATGTTGAACTGCTTATGTGAAGAGGAATAAATATATAGTCGTGAAATGGGTATCATTCATTATTTTCATCAGGAAAAAAAGGGCATCATACATTATTACTTTTGATTCTGCCAAGGGTTTTGTAGAACCCTGTGGTTACCAATGGCTTTGACTCAACATGGTTGTCCGTATGCATTCCTAGACACAAAGAAGATCTTGCATTCTGATTTTCATATTTAGGAGTTCTTTCATTCAATATTTTGAAGCTACTATTTTTTTCTTTCTGCATTCATATGGGCTACTTAAAACTATACCTCTTTAAACACTTCTTCCCAGATACAAGCTGTTGATATTTCCTTTTCATGTTTTAAATCTAGATTGAACTGAAAACTCCATGCCGTAAAGGAAAGAAGCTGCTTGTTTTGGATATTGACTATACTTTATTTGATCACCGGTCTACGGCAGAGAATCCACTTCAACTCATGCGGCCTTGTAAGACTGCTGTTGCTCTCTTTATATGCTTTATATGTTTGGTATGTTTTGATAGCTAATACTGAAGATACTTTTTGCAGATCTTCATGAGTTTCTTACAGCTGCTTATGCAGAGTATGATATCATGATTTGGTCTGCCACCAGGTCAGGTTTAATCAATTACTTTTCTTTTCCTTTAATTCTTTACGACTGAATATGCTTACATTTACTAAAGAACCCATGCTTAGTAACATTCTTCATTTATATAATTTAGAGATTCATGCGACAATTGTTTCATCTAGTCCTAAAAGTTATTAGATGTCATGCCTTTATATAATATGTTTTCTCGTTATTTTTATCAACATATGTGTATTGTTCTATTTTGGGTATCTCAGTGTCTGCATGTGCATGCTAGATTTTTCTGTGTTAATACCTCAGCTTCCTAAAGTTTATCACTTTCTCTTTCTCCAGCATGAAATGGGTTGAATTGAAGATGGGACAGCTTGGAGTACTAAACAATCCAAACTACAAAATCACAGCCCTCCTAGACCATTTAGCAATGATCACTGTTCAATCAGATTCTCGTGGAACCTTTGATTGCAAACCACTTGGCTTGATTTGGGCTCAGTTTCCTGAGGTATATAATAAAACCAAATTTGCTATTTTTTGCTTGCTTCTTCAGATTGTTGTGTGTGAATCCAGTCAATGAATTGCAGCTGGTTGACTGACTTGTGCTTTCTTGTTATATTTGCAGTTTTACAGTTCAAAAAACACTATAATGTTTGATGATCTGCGAAGAAATTTTGTGATGAATCCACAGAATGGTTTGATAATTAAGCCATTCAGGAAAGCTCATGCAAACAGAGATACTGACCAAGAGCTTGTAAAGCTCACCCAGTACTTGTTAGCCATTGCAGATCTGGATGATTTGAGTGCCATTGACCATAGCCATTGGCAGTTATTCACTGAGGACAGTGCCAAAAGGCGCAGGCATGCATGACTTACATTGACAAGCAGGGAAATTTCCATGTGTTAATAATGTTCTCTTTTTTGAGGTATGTATCTCATGTTATGAGTTAATTCCTTGGCATTTTTTTTTTCCTTCTTCCAGGCTTAAATTTCCATAAGTTGTCACTTGGGGAGCAAGATTGTTATGTCCCTAACATTTTGTGCCATCCTTTTCTGCTCAATAATTCAATAATTTACTTATTCCTAACAAGTATCTCCCCTCTTTTCAGGTATCGCAAATATTGGGATGTGATACTGTTGAATGCTAGCCTTTGCTAGTCCTCCATGATGGCCTGGCGGGCCACTTGAACCCATGAATGTCATCTTATTTGGCATTACTCTTTTTATTTATATATATACATATTATATATATTATATACATAAAGTCGTGAAATGAAACTGATTCGTAGAAACTGTGATATCTGCATTTCGGATAAAGGAAGTTGCCTTTCCATAACACCGTCAAGGCCCATCCTTATTACTCAATTGAAGAAGAGGCTTTGTTTTCTTAACGAACCTAGCTGAAGCAACTTTAAGCTTTTGTCATAACGTGCATGAGTGATAAAGAGGAAACCCATAAATCCTTGCTGTTGATGCAGCTAAGCAACATGCATTGATTTCATGTTTACATTGCTGAAAACTTAAAGAGAAAAGAAAAATACAGTGAATATGCATTAAACCTGCAGCATTAGAGCCGGTATTCTTCGGGGGCTTTTGCAAAGGACTTAGAAGAAGAAAAGCAATGGTTCAACGTAAGTTAAATAGGGCGTCGTCTTCTGCATGCTTTCATCGTGACAATGAGGTCTCTTTCACTCAAGTTGGGTAGGAAGATTCATTATTTTCAAGACTATGGTTACCATGGAGTGGTCATTTGCGGTCTGAATTAGTTTGATAAATTTGGCAAAAAGATATTATGTTATAGTAGCTGGAGATTTCAGTTTACAACTGTCATTTCTAAATTGAGCATGCTAAATTTATGTACACAAGTTCAACATGCTAAATATTATGATTTTTAAGTTTGAAACTAACCATAAATGAAGTAAAAACAATTTTCATTAAGAAAAAATGTAAATTTGCATGATAGGATATTATACTGTAAAAATTGTTAAAGCAAGAGTGGTGATAATTGTTGAGTAGCACAAAAACTTTTAAGATTATAATTTTTAAGAATAACTAAAATTGTAAATTGCTTAGATAATTAAATTAGATTAAAAATTTTGTTAGTTAGAGAAAGAATGCATGCAATTGTTACTCATTATTAACTAATTTAAAAATTAGAATTTTGATGTAGTAAAATGTGGATTCCGTTCATGTGCACCTTCAAACACCTGAGGTGTTTGTATTTCACTTAAACATTTTTTACGAGAGTCATTTAATAGAATTAAAATTCTTGTCTATAGATAAGATAAATGATACATTTACTAACATTTATCATTGAAAAATTACTTAAAATGATAATTTAGAAATGTTTTCGTCGATAAAAAATTTTAAACATATCCTTATGTTTAATTATATAGTTTTTTGGATTAAAAATATAGAAATACATAAACAAACTAAAAATTAAAAAAAATAGTAAATACTAGTTATATGTAGTAGTTAAAGGAAAACTGATCCAAACTGAAAGGAAACCATGAAGGCAGGGAGGGTATAATACGCGTGGAGCTTTGAATGTAAACGTTGAAGAGATGACAATATTCTAGAAATAGACGCATTGTTTGCACCCAAATCTGGCAAATCCAAGAAAACTCTTCTCTCACTCCACATTAATTAATTATAATTCATTCCCTAATTTCTTCTTTTTAAGAGAAAACAATAAATTTCATTTAGTAAGAGAGAGACGAAGCTACATGCCATGAAAACACTTTAACATATCTTGCCTTGTGTAACTTCTCTCTTCTCTTCTGTCTCTTCTGCCACTCTCATTGTGGACCGAAAGCCAACAAAAGCCCTTGTAGGGTGAAATAAGGAAAGAGTCATCAGTCTCTTTTGGAGTTTTGGAAATGAACCCTTTTTGTGTTGTTGTTCAAAGATCAGTCTATATGGTCTTCACCTTCTTCTTCTTCTTTCTTTTGAGCTCAGTTTCACCTTCATGTAAGTATTCTTTCTTTCTTTTTTTCTCATTTTTGTTTTAAGTCTTTTGTATTGTAACTGTACATTGAATTTTTCCCTTTTTTTTTCCAAGTATTTTACGTTGAAGTTTTATTTTTTTCATGGGGGGTTGATTCTGATTAAAATGCAGATGGATATGATCCTTTGGATCCTCATGGCAACATAACTATCAAATGGGATCTTCTGCAATCCAATCTTGATAAAAATGATGTAAGTTCTCACTCCCAATAATTCTTTATCACTCCTATTTTAATGGCTGGTTAATTTTATAGGCATTAAATTTTGTCAAAACTTCCATTTCTCACCCTGGGATGCCACCCTGATTAGTAGGCAACACTGAACAAAGCATCAAGAAACTTAAAAATTATACCAGAAGAAGCGTTAATCTGTTATGTTACAGACTCAGTCAAGTCCAGTGCATGCCCTCTTCTCAGCCTCTTTTGAGTCGAAAAGAATGTCCGTTTGTTTGTCTTGGGTTGTGCTTTGGGGGCAGCTGGGGTCCACAAACTGTTGGCCTGTTTCTCCAATTGTTGCCCAACACATCATCATGGGGTAATATCGTCTTTGTAAAGAGTAAGAAACATCTCAGAAAGCTTGGAGTTCAAGTCATGGTTTTTTTTTTTCTTTTAATTTGGAAATGCAACCGCCCATGGACCATGTTCATGTTCACGTTCAAGTTCAACTGCACCTAGTGCAGTCTTTTTGTTTTGTCTGCGATTGCATGTTTCACAATCATAAACTTTTCACTAGAATCAGACCCAAAAAAAGAATAATAATAATAATAATAACAACTTTTTTTAATTAGGTAGCTTGTTTAAGTTGTTGAACATGTAGAGAGAAATGGAGTGGATGACTCTAGATGGCTTGTTTTTTCTTCCTTAATATTTAAAAGGAAAACAATTGATGGAATAGAACAAATTCTTGGATTCCAAATTCAATGTGAAGGAATAAGTGCTTTGGGGTTTTGATAAGTGATCCAGTCATCCAGATTCCAGGCCAGTACTTTACTATGTAAGTACTGAATTTGCTATGGGAACATGTATATATATGGGTGAACAACAGAGTAATCCCAGTAGATGCACGCCACTCAAGCTTTTATACATAGTTTTCTTTCCTGGATTACTGTCATTTTCGTTTCTCTGGGAGTCGAGATAAGGGTTGCTTCCAGTACTCATGTCTAAGGAATACTAGTATGACCATGAATTATGGTTTAAGTTCCACGTTTTTGCTTCTGTAATTGCAGCTGAAGGTATCCATACTTAACCACCAACTATATCGCCAAATAGAGCGGCCTGGCTGGAAGCTGGGTTGGGCGTGGGTAGGTGATGAGGTGATTTGGAGCATGCAGGGAGCTGAGGCTACAGAGCAAGGAAACTGCTCTAGGTTCAAGGGACAAGAACTTCCTCATTGTTGTGAAAAGAAGCCAGTGATTGTTGACCTTTTACCCGGAGCCTTGTACAATCTGCAGACCGCTAATTGTTGCAAAGGAGGCGTTCTAACATCCATGGTACAAGACCCTGATAAGATTACTGCGGTTTTTCAGATGGTTGCTGGATCTGTCAACGTTTCAGACTTCATAATGCCAGAAAATTTCACTCTTGGAATTCCAGGATATTCCTGTGGGAACCCAGTTTCGGTTGCACCAAGTAAGTATACTTCTGATGGAGGCCGTCGGTGGACACAAGCTCTTGGTAAGTTCTTTCCAATTATACATTTCCTTGCAAGCCTTTCCATTTCTTAAGTAACATAAATGATATCTAGCTAATAGTAATGATCATGTTCTAGATTTTGAAAAGCAAGTGAGAATTGCAAATTGGGAATCGGTAGTTTGTTTTGCTTAAGGGAATTAGAGCAGGAGTCACACTTGTCTTTTTACCCTTAGCAGAATTCAATCTTATTTTATTTATATATATATATATACATAAAATATTAAACACTTATGAAAATGCCATAGTTTGATATGGATGTACTACATGATAGAGTACCAATGCCCTGTAGTGTGTTTCTGCATGGATCTATTGCAGGAACTTGGAACGTGACATGTATCTACTCCCCGTTTCTGGCATCAACTTCTCCAAAGTGCTGCGTCTCCTTATCTGCATTCTACAATAGGTCAATTGTTCCCTGTCCCAAGTGCAGCTGCAGCTGCCAAGGATTACCTGAAGCAAAATGTGTAAAGTAAATCCTCTCTAGTTCTTTCATCATCTGAGATATATATAATAAGGTGCACCTGGAAATAACCTCGATTAATGATCCTATGAAAGAAAATATATACATCAATTATCAAAACCAAACTCCTAAACGAAAACTAATATAGTTATTTATGATTGAGGAAAGGAGAATCAGTCCTGTATTTTTTATGGCTTTGCTGTGCTTTATCTAATTGCAAGTATGATTGCAACACGTTCCTTCTTACCATGAGATGATCAAAGAAGCATCTAGCTAGCTTGTATTGCATCCTTAAATAGTTCTTGTTTAACCAGAAAAAGTGCCTAGCTCTCCTAAAATTGTTGTAGTCGAATTTGATGATATTCCTCCTTGAAGCTACATATAAAAACAGTTTCATAGATTCTGTCATTCCGCAAAGTTAATCTAGTACTTACCTTTCATTATTATCAGAATGGAGAAATAAACATACGACAATAATATTTTGATCCTTTGCAATCGGCAGATTGACCATGCTATCACGATTTTTTCTAAACAGGTTTGGTGAAACACCATCGCTGTTGCAAGAACTAGAAGATCCAAATCAGGAGCAACCATCTTTAGTCAGGTGCACGCAGCATATGTGCCCAATACGGGTCCATTGGCATGTGAAACGAAGTTACAAAGAATATTGGCGGGTCAAGATAACGGTGAATAATCTGCATATCATGAAGAATTATAGCCATTGGAACTTGGTGGCATCACACCCCAACCTAAAAAGCCTGACACAAGTTTTCAGCTTCAACTATGAGCCACTTAACCAGTATGGTTATATCAGTAAGTCAGATCAAACCACATTGAGATTTACTCGCAATTACAATCACTGGCAGATGCTCTGCTAGGTTTTTTTTTTTTTGTGGATTTGAAAATCTTAGTGAGACAAGTATATTATTTTTATGCGTTAATGCAGATGATACAGGGATGTTTTGGGGGATTCAGTACTACAATGACATGCTGCTAGAGGAAGGTGAAAGGGGAAATGTGCAAACTGAAATGTTGCTTCACAAAGATCAAGGGGTGTTCACTTTCAGAGAAGGATGGGCTTTCCCAAGAAGAATTATGTTTAATGGTGATGAATGCGTCATGCCCCCTCCTGATGAGTACCCAAGGCTGCCTAATAGTGGACATAGTGCCAAATTGAGCCTTTCTGCAATCTTTGGCTCATTGTTGCTGCTAATAATTCTGTGCTAAGAAGTGAATACTTTGCGCATTAGAGACTTCACTTCCCAATTGTACAAAACCATTTAATTTTTAGTGTTTAAAGAAATTAAAAATACAGAGCAGGATACGTACTAACATTGATAACAATTAGATAGAAGATTTCCAACTTCCTTTTCACTCATCTGAAACACCTTAATTCTGTGAATGCATAGAAAGATTATTGTTGATATCCTTTTGTCAATAAATAGGTAACTAGCGTCCTCTTCAGAGTCTTATTTAAAGGTTTAATAGTTGAATAATGTCTAAACATAGATAGCAATCTGCTCAAGTTGTTTGTCCCCAGGACAAATCATGAAAGAGCCATTGATTCTAGCAATAGCACTTGCAAAACACGAGGCATCGCAACCCATGGTGCATTAAGACAAATAAAATATCGTCATAGAAAGGGAGGAGTTGAAGGTAAAAGCTTTGACACGGATTGAGATGGAACATGGGTTGATTTTTGGACTGAGTTGGTAAGTGGCATGCCAATTTGCAAATAGCTTTTATCTCTTGTTCCCATCCTTACAGCTCAGTACTGGCCAGCCTGGATATACCAGCATCTTTCAACTCATATTAACCCTCCAAAATTGGAGAAATGATGAAACAACTTTTTCTCTTCCAGTTTTTCTTAGTAAATGAAATGAGCTTGTGATCCTTCCTGAAATAAATCGCAACTTGGCAGGTCTTTCTGGTTCTATCAGGTGTCTGTTACTAAAATAGATGGCCATTTGGCCCATCCTTCCACTCTACTCCAGTGATTTTAATCAATGATTAAAAAACCACTTTGGCACAGCAAGAAATAAAAGAGAGGAAACTAACAAGAGACACTGGCAGTTTCCGGTAGTTGCAACTTATTGCAACAACTTTTATTTAATTATTAAAGGCCTGATAATGCCAAGGGGAAAAGAGTGGGAGTGGGGGTGGGGGTGGGGGGTTTAAGTAAAAATAGTACGAGGGTACCTAATTGATTGAAAACCAGCACACACCTAATTGAGTGAAAAGCAGCACACACCAAATTGATTGAAAACCAGCACGCACCAAACTATCTTCAAGCTGAAGGGCACAACCAGGCAAATTATACCCAACAGAACCCAGAAAGAAAACGTGGATTTCATTAAAAACATTTTACAAGAAATATTTTCCTACCATTATGCATTACAAAATAATGCACATCCACACAGCCAAAAGATCTCTGCACTAAGGTGGTATCCACTAAGTGGATACTTGAAATGGAGGAAAAATGGAGCACATAAAATTTCTGATGCGTAACCATTGATGAGCATACAGGAGGGAGTGAAACATGGAACCTGCTCTTATGTTTACCACCTCAGGTGAATCATAAGCCTGAAATCCAATTTTCTGGCGATGACTACCAGGTGCACATTAAGGATATTAATTTGTCAAAAGAAAAAAAAGGGTAAGAGATGACAGAAAGATAAAGAGAAGATCAGGCAGAGGGAGGGCACCAAGACTGGATGAACTTGGCTTTATCCCGCACAAGGGAAACAATAAATTTGGTCAGCATTGCAGCAGCCAGTTGAAGAAGTAGCATAAAAGAGCTCTGGCTAGATTAAATATTTAAATGCGGAGTGGACCAGTTACAGGGTCATGACCAGAACTGGCATCCTTGTGTTTCAGAGAGAGGTTCGCGAATTGGGAATCAAGATCTCTACTGCTAGAGCGTCGATGGCTAGAAGACGGTTGCTGTTGCTGTTGATTTTGCTGCTGCTGGTACAACACTCGTAGCCTACCAATCTCCCTCTCCAATACTTCCTGTTCAACTGAGCACAATGATTGCATAATTTAGTTTCCATTCAATACAATTTTGTTTTAATCAATTAAAATAATTTCTGTTCATCACAAGACAGATCAATGATGGCCTCTTAGACACATTTGCCCTTTCTCCATAAATATTCATGCTTTTGGAAGGACCAATGCATTGTTAAGCGAGCTGTGCTCTCAAGGAGGCAGGAAAATCACTTTTACTGGTATAGAACAACAAATTCAAGAATAAGACATGGACCACAGCATCCTATTTTCCCCCTAACCATGAAGGGAAAACAAGTGACTGGCTCGTTCAGGAGTCAAGACCTAACTTAACCCCTCCCACACAAAGAACAGAAAGACATTTGTATCTTTTATTAAAACAAGGTAACAAACTGGATCTATCACCCCTCATACAGCTCCACAAATGAGGCCTACAGAAAAAAAAAATTAAAAGGTGGAAAAATAGGTTGTTGTGCACTACTATGTAATACAGAAAAACAACATATAATCACAGCCTTAGAGGTGATAGGTTAGACACTTACGATATTTGATAACCTGCTCCTGAGCTAAACTCTCTAAACGTTGCTTAAGAGCTTTGTTCTCCATGCTAAGAATAAGATTCTGCTGGTTGAGAAATTCAAGCTCAGCTGAAACTTCAGATCCTTCTGCCTGTTGAGCAAGAAACACAATTAACACTTCAATGTAAGGCATACTTGTGTCATAACTTTAAGTCAATTTCAAAAGTAAGTAAACATTAAAAAACTTCAAGTTGGACTAATTCTTGCCTGCAAGGCTTGTACATTTCTTTCCAGCTCAGCTATGTACTGAAGTTTGCGCACCCTTGAGCGCTGAGCAAACTGCCTGCAATACACAGCGACAAAGTAATGTAACTGAATCTTTTCTACCAATGTAGTGCATTGGTATAATAACCAAATATGTATTTTTGTGTAAAAGCTTCAAGCATCACACATCAAAAACAAATTGAAGTCACCAGTTATCAACAAAACAAATATCAACTAAATTAAATGCTGGGCAGAACAAAATAAGAAAATTTGAAGGGAGAATGAATGTATGCTATATGTGATTCCATTTAAGAACAAAAGAACATGTAAGAATATGTATGCATGTTATACTTTTGTGTGTGTATATGCAGGAAACCTGCACTACAGACTACAGACTACAGACAAGTACCAGTATACCCCTCATGTCCTATAAAATGATAATTCAAAAAGGATTTGTAAACCAAAATCAAGTCTAACTAGTTTGCGGTAAATATTCGTCTCAAGAGGTGCAAGGCCAAGAAATGCATAAATCAACTAAAATAGTGAATGCAAGAGACAGAAACGCCTAATGAATGCAAGCATTCCTACAGCACCTGCAGGTAACTAGCATCAATCTCAAATCCTGTTGGAAATTAATTGACAAATTCCCTGTCGATTTGTTAATTATAAGCAAAAAGTAATTAATTACTAACAACATCAACAGCATTATAAGCAAATACAAGTATAACTGAGCACATAAAATGTGACCTTTGAAAGATATTGATAACAGAGTGAGATTTGGCTCAATGCATGCACATGAAGAAACTAAGATATAAGAAAAAAAAATAAACAAAAATAAAAAAAGACAGGCCGAGCCACCAGGAAAACATAATAAGTTACGTCACTGTAATGGAACTATAACCCCAACAATTGGAACAATAAAATAGGCTACTCACTGCTTGGCACGTTTTGTATCACTGTCAGATGCCGAAGACTTAGCGTGAGAATTATCCTTTCTCTCAGAAGAAGCTTTTGCATCAAGAGGGGATGACTCAGCAGAATCTTGTTTATCGCTTGCTGTTGATGGAGCACCCTCTACTTCTTGTGGTGCACATGATGAACCTAAACCCTGGAGAATGGTGTTTTCTCTAAGAGGAAGCCCACTTGGATGGGTCACAGTATTCAAAGATGAATCCCATGCCCTATTCTTTTGCTTTACCAAGTTCACATCAGTGTAGAAAGAGGCAAGCCGAGCATCTTTGTGACCATGATAATCAAAGTCCTGAGATGCCCAAGAAGGTGCAGAAATCATATTTTTATATCTGTACTCATCCTGAACTGCATAATCTAGGTTAGGAGCATTAGCTACATCAATATATGCAAAAGAGTCACTTGATGAACGTCGATGACCTCCTCTGCGCACAGGAGTCTCAGGCTCATTAAGGAGATCATCAAGCCAAGAAGGCTGTTCATCTATCAGAAGGCTTTCAGAGGAAGTGCGCTGGTGGTGTGTACTTCCCTCTCTAGGCTTTTGAACTGCTTTTGACCCAATTACACTGTTGGGGACATAATCAGTATATGTTGGGGAGACTGTAGGAAATGGGCTTTTTGGAGGAAGTAAAGCATGTTTTCCAGCAAACATCAAATTTCTTATGTTTGTTGACCCCTTGGAATTCGCCATGGCCAAGCACAACCAGTTCCTGCAAAGAGCACAGCAGAGACAGATCATGAAATAGATCAATTATGATAAGAACAAAGGCATACATAAAAGTCCCAGAAAAAGAGTTGCAGTGATATTTTCCATCCACAAACCCAGAGACAATAATCCCTCCATTCAACAGAGAAAACCAGAAATACAATAGATTGTACCATGCATCAAACCTATTGTCATATAGCAGATAATGATCTAAATATGAAAACATATATGTCTGGTACACAGCACATGCATAACAGGTAGGCATTCAGGAAAAGATTCACAATCTGTACGGGAAGATGATGGAAAACAGTAAAAGAACTAGTGAATTATACATTACAGAATTATTTTGTGTGTACGTCCAAAATCCAAAATCTTAGGAAACAGGTAAAAGCATTTTGCGCTTTTATCTTCCTAGGTAGAAGGTTGTAACCTTGCACAATTTCTATTAGAATGATCAGTGTTTTGATTGTTTTAACTGAAACCATGCATATGAACTATCAAGGACAAAAATACTGCCATTAGAAAACTCGGAGTCATAAAAGATCATCTTCTTGTCAGCATCAAACACTCTTGTCAGAAATACCTGCCCAAAAGTAATCATATTCATATATTGTTCAAAGTGTTGACTGTTATATATGTAGCGAAGTCTCTCAGAGTACTGTATCAAAGGCATACTCTCAAATCCTACTTTTAGCAGGAATCAAGGAAGTAAACTCTCATATGCATGGTCCGGAATATATAATAAATTGCAAAATTAAATTAAAAAACAATGTAAGAAGAAAAAGTCCCAAATGCATATCGTCCCCGCTGAAATTGCCGCAGATAACATGTCTACAGGGAATAGATCAAGGCGGTCCTAGAAACATTCATTAAACAATCTAATTGTTCACCTTAAATGACAGTTTCTATGTATTCAACAAAACAGGAGAATGTAAAGCAAAATCTCTCAAAATTAACAGATTCAAATTAACTTAGAACAGTGATTCTGGCACTATTTATAGTCCTTTTTTTTTTCCTTTTCCAAACACAAAAACAACGTCAAAACTCCTAAATTAAATTGTGTTCTGAATAATAATCAATAAATAAAAAATTAAATAATAAAACATCACCTAAGCTAAGCAAAGGTATAGAATAGTGAAAATCAAAATACTGAAAAACTTATTCCTTGTTATTTCCCACATTTCCTCAGCAACCAAAAACTAACCAAAGAAAATCTAAGATAAATAGAAACCAGAACGCAGCTCATGAAATTAAAAAGGGGAAAAAAGAAGCCTAAGAATTTCAGATTAGGTATACAATGAAACGAAATGTTACAATGTGAGAGATGAAGAATAGATTAAAACTAACATAAAAGCAGAAATTAGTTGAAAATAAGAAAACAGATTCATTTTGGAAGCTACAAAACAAACGGAAAACAAAAACAAACCAAAGATTTTTTTTTTTTGTTAATTATGTTATTTTAAATTCGGCCCCAAAAAAAAAACGGAAAAGCTTACCCTTCCTGGATTGAAGAATTGAGATCTTGAAATGCAATGCTTCAATGTTTCTAAATCGGAAGCCAACTGTTTTCTAGGGTTTTCTTTTATTCCTTTTTTTCCGTTTTTTTTTTCTTTTCTTTTTTGTCTGTCTTCGGTTTCCCTTCTTAGGAAGCCCCCCACTCTCTCTATTTCTATTTCTCCTCTTTCTCTCTCTGTCTGCGTTGAAGTCTGGAGGTGGAATAAGCAAATAAGGGGCTGGATTGAAAAAGTTAAATCTAAAAAAGGAGAAAACTTTTTCACGTTTTAACCCCTCCAAAATACTCATATTATATACTACCCCACTCAAATTCCTCATTCCTTCTTCTTACTACTTAGCTGATGTTAAAATTGCGGGAATATAGTAATTGCAGGGACGCAACATGTACCGCCTTAACCATTAAAGAAAATTAAGTATACATTATTTCATCAATAGGGTCATTATTTATTAAAAAAAATACTTTATAGTTTTAAATGTAACTTTTATATATGAACATTAATTCATTAGTAATTTATTTAATTATATTCCAAAATATCGAATTCAATAAAAGGTATATTGTCGACAAGGGCAAGTAATCTTTTGGGCGGTTTGGTTTTGTGGATTGAAGAAAGGAAAAAAGGGGGAGAGTAATAGAAAAGGATGGGTATTGCGTGCATGCAAAATTTGCTGTGCTTTTTAATTAGGAGTAAAATTGGTTGGATTTTCCTAACTATGAGTTGGGAGGTGAGTTTATTACACGTAAAGTGAAGGGGAAATGCGGTGCCAGTTGTTGGTTTAAATTATTATTATTATTATTATAATTAAGAACCAATTATCAAAAGAGAGATGAGAAGAAAGTGCACAAAGACAACCAAACTCCACACACATGGAAAAAAAAAAATACACAAAGAGACAACAAATTTTTATATGCATATACTCCTTCCAATCTGTCCCCCAAGGATTCAATATTCCTCTCTCTTATGGCCTTTGCCTTACTGCTCACTTTCCAGTAACCCAATTTTTTTAATTTTTTTTCTCGATCCCAATCTCACCTTAATAATCTACTTTAATTCAAATTTTATGCGTAAAGCACATTTAATCAAGCATGAAAAATAAAGTACCTGTGTGTATTTGAGATCTAGCTTGGATTTCTTTCCATCCTCACACGGTTTCGATCCTTGATCTTGCTAAAGTTTTACTTATTATTTATTATATATTTTATAAATAATATTAAAATTTATATATATAGAGGTATTGGGAATGAGTATATCAAATCAAATACGGGTATTCCATAAGTGATATACATATTTTACTTACACTTATTTCAAATTTAAATATAAAATACTTAATCTTATATAATTAAGTCGAATACTTATGAATATCTTATTTAAGAATACCTGTTACTATTCCTAACAGAAAAGTCAACTGTCAAGGGAAAAAAAAAAACAAAGGGGACCAATAAAACTTGAATGCAAACAGTAACAGAGTTATAAGGGTATTTGCACATTTATTGCAGAATAAATGGGTGCAAGCATAAAGGTTTTCGACAGCGTTTTAGTATGGTCCACCTGCCATTAATAGGCCATTTTCTTCCGTTGCTCGATGTTTTTTGTTTCTTTCATTGATATTTCAAGCAAAAAGGAGAGCAACAAGTTGCAGGGCCAACAAGATACAGTCAGATAGGAAAGGATCTGACTCTCTCCAATAATTTTGTACTGGAATTACTGCTTTTACTTTATAACCAATGGCCTTTTTAGTACACATGTTCTAAAAAATTTTCATAGAGTAATGTCTCTTGGCACTCATTCATTACTATTGCTGATGAAAACCATACTTTGTTTGAATGAAAATCACATTTGAACGGCCTTCTAGATGCATTAAATATTTACCTTATTAGAATTGAGAAAGGTACCTTAGAGGATCTAAACTTTGGGTGCAAAATGGGGTACCCCCAGAGTAATGAATTCATGATTCATGTTGTCTTGAGGCACCTAACACACCCTACATGAAGTGGAAGAACATCTTCTCTGGTACAAAACCCTGTAATTTACATAAATTTTTAGCAATTAAGTTGAAATAGGTTTGTTAACGAAGGGTGAGCAGTGACCACAAATATCAGAAAAAGCATGAATGTTGGAAGCAATCATATGGTTGAGAAAGGAATGCAAGCATTTTCAGTACAGAAATAAAACACGGTGTGCTTGCCCCACCACATTTATTGGCAACCGTTTCTTCGTGCAGAAAGCTTGGTTCTCATTCAGGGGAAACCATCAGAATAAATGCAAAACTAGCTATCAAGATGCACATTGATATAGTACATATCATGCAATGTACTTACATATTGTACACTTAAAACATGTATCAGAAAACTTGGATACTGGTCCTTGTATTCAGTATATACTTCAATGGCATCCCATTGCTGGGATCCATAAATAAGCTAATATATTTTATAGATCAGAATTAGTAAGAATATATGGCTATAGTTGATGCTGAGAATGACTTTAAGAACCAAGCAGTTTCTTCCATCTGGCATACCCTAGGATAAGCAGGAAAATCAACACACACCCTGCTGTAACACCTCCAACAAAGAGTTCAAATATCCCATCCTTCCTGTACAATGTACAAGGGATGTTCATACCAAACCACCCAGCTACCAAAGTTTCAATAGCTACAGCAAACGATGCAATGGTCAATGTCAATTGAAGTTGGATGAGTTCATTTCGCTGGTTGTCAAGTTGGATATTGACATAGTCTTCTGTATCATCAATATATTCACGAACCTGCAAATCCAACACAGGAAATGGTACTTGATATCAAGTCAAGGAGATGAAACCAGATGCATTCATTCCACCATAGTAAAGACAAATACTCACAGATAATATCTTGTTACGCGTTCCATCCAGCTGCATGAAATAAGCCTCAAGCAACATCTCCAAATCCTCGACATCATCGTCATCCAAATTGTGGCTGCTCACCAAACTTGCACTCCTGTGTGAACCAAGTCGAGGTAGACGAGGTGAAGTAGTACTGATGCTATTTGAAACTGCAGCTCCTGACAGAGCCTCGGATTGCTGATTTTGGATCCACTTTCTTGTTAAATACAAATGAGACATATCTTCATTGTCATCCAGTAGATGTTCAATTTCATCCCTCACCTGACATTTCACAGGTGTTCACTAATGCTTCACACATATAAAATAACATACAGATAAATGATGCAGTGTCGATAGGTTACATCTGTTAATAAATCATCTAACATGTTTTCATTGTAAAATCGTCTATAGAAAATAGCAGAGATTCATCAAATGCCTTGGGAAGTTGCACCCCACATTCCGATTATTCTGACTCTAACAAGATAAAAACTCTTTTGGCAGAATAAAGTAGGAGAGTTTTCATGCAATTGGTCTTCCCTCCCTCACACACATGCACTCATGCACACACACTCCAGATCCAGATAAGGAGAATTCTCTGTATTAGCAACAATTAGAACGTTGTCAGAAACAACAGGCATCAAAGATACCTTTTGTACACGTGCAAGAAGACGAGTGAGATTACTTTTCAAACTCCGCACATGTTCAAGATTCTTGGTGCTGACATTTCTGGCCAGTTCATCCAAGATGGGATAAGCATCTCTCTCAAGTTCTGCCACACTCTTGTCCAAAAATGAGCAGACAACCTCTAAAGCTATCTCCAGAACCTGAAACTCAAACGGAAGTTCACACTGCAAACCCTCCATGGCTTCTGGAACCGGTAACCACTGTCTACCAGTTGATACATGCATTTCACTATCATTTACATCCATTGCACCTGCTCCTTGGATCTTACATGCACTTTTATGAGGAAGTTGTTGTCTTAGTTGATCCACAAATTGAAGAACCTCCTGTTGGAGTGGATCCAGTATAAGAACTTCTTCGGCTGTAACTATAGCCTTTATAAACTCTAAATTGACAACCATAGCTTTCTCCCTGGCTAGAAAAGTTAAAAAAGAATCTCAGAATCCTTTTAAAGAAAAATCCTTAACTCTTTCAAAGATAATAATGACTAAATAGAGCATCCACCGTTCTTAATTGTTTGATACATATATCAATATAATGAAATTAGATCAAGGTACAACTCAGATTGGAATAAGAAAAAATGAATAGACTCTAAGTGAGAGAGTAAAAAACAGAACAATATTTTCCACCATTCCTCTTTGGAGAGCAGACAAAACTACAAAAGAAACAGAGCAAGCAGAGGAACAAACAGCACATTATGGGTGTGAACGAACCAAGCTGAGCCAAGCTTAGATATGTTCAGGCTTGGCTCGTTTACCAGGAAAGACATTCAAGCTTGAATGGATTTTTGAATTTATTGTTCAAGCTCCGCTCAGTATGTTCCAGATTTCCATTTTCTTTTTGTTTTCATTGATTTCTCACCACCCCAACAATCTATTATCAAATTAACAAGTTTCATTTGGGCATAAATTCTTAACAAAGCAATAAATTGCAAGTATTAATAAGAGTAAAATAGATCAAAATAGCAACTTTATTTAACAAACTAACAATCAGCTGATATTTACCCATCAAACTTTGAAACCTAACCCATGGAAGGAAGAGAGATAAAGTGACAATCTGTCTTCGCAAGCTGCTTCAGAGGCAAGCATATCACCACTCCAACTCATATACCGTCCCCAATTTCTTCCTTGCCTCATCTATGAGAGAGGGCAAAGGGCAACATCAAATGATTTTGACAGGGGTAGGTTCAAGCTTATTTGTAAAGAATGTAAAGGAGAATCAAAGCGATTAAGGTGAGGATTAAGGAGAGAAAAGAGAGAAAAAGGAAGGACGGAGAGCTACTGTTTCATTGTGCAAAAAGCTGACGAGACAAAAGCTGCATCGCAGAACAAGAAAAAGCCACAGAGGGTAAGCAGAGAAGCCACCGGCAAGCAAAATGGAAAGGGTAAGGGAACAAAAATTCTGAGAAAATGGCAACGTCGTAAATGGCAGAAAGGATTTTAGGTTTGAAGTGGTCAATTTCCAATTATACCTCTAAACAAGCTTTAAACGAGTTTGTTCACAAACTTAAAGGGCCGAGCTCATCGATGTTTGAACTTGGCTTGTTTATTAAATGAGCTCTAAAATGTTGTTCAAGTTCATTCATTCATTTTGTTAAACAAACATAAACGAACCTAACCCAAGCTTATTCACAAGCTTTTTATTGAACGTACTGGTTCACTTACATTA